ATGCGCCGCTTCGGGTTTTGGGGGGGTTTTGGGTTGGTGGTTTTGTGGATTTTTTTTGTTTTTGTTGGGTTTGGGGGTTTTTTTGGGCCAACCAGACCTGCTGTACAGAAACAACAGCACTCGAAAAGTTCAGTCAAATGCCAGCATTGATTGCTTGTGTTCTGACATCATAGGAAAAATATGTCTACCTCATATATGCAGAAACTGTAGATGCAGTGAGAGGCAGCATATAGACATACACGTTATCCTTTGAAAGTATTTTGTTCTGAGCATCCTATCTTGCGTAAAATAGAGTGGTCTTATTGGAAAACTAATTAAAAAACATTCAGTTGACATCACTGCACTTTCTCTGTGCCCCTGCTTGCATCTTTTAAGTGAGAGTGAGGCATTCTGTCATCGGCATAAATATTTGCTTTACTTGGCAAAGCAAAGTGCAAATAGTCATGACTAAAGCTAAAATGAAATCAGAAGGTCCCACTGGGTTACTTGGACCATAACAGCTAGAAGCACGAGCGCTGGATCAGAGGAGCCTTGCTATGGAAAGTAATGTATAGAGCAAAATCCCAGGACGAGGCAAGCGGCAGCTCGGGAGAGACTCGCAGGAGAGTACAAGGAAACAAACATAAGATATTGCTACTAAAGGTGTTTTCAAGCCCTGAGAGCAAATCACAGTCTAGAACACACATATCGATAAAAAGCCTTTAAAAGTAAGCTTGTTCTATGCCACCTATAAGTTAGCACATGACAATTCTCTTTAAGAAATCTTCCTCTGATAAACTTTGTATGGAAGTAGATGCTGGCAGAAGTTACCCCACAGGTGTTTTATCCACACATGAATGCTACAGCACAAGATGTAGAACTTTCAGGAACAGAGTAAGAGGACCATGCACGGAAAGCCTAACATCTTATTTCTTTGGTTTTTTTGGCTTTGTACAAATGAGTGCTGCGTAACAGAAGGAAAGCCAAGAATATCTGAAAAGGAGCTGCAGAAGAATGTAACCATGTATTTTTCTTGTTTCATTGCAGTCCTCTGTTTCTAATTATAAGCCAGCTGCTGAAAGTGACTTCATTCAATAACTATTTTGATTTCATCCTGTCTACCACTCTAGTCTCAGACTCACAGTTCCCAAACTCCAATCATCTATGTAATTCAAAAGCAATATGATTATAAAATAATAAATATGTCCATGTTTTTGTTCCCAGAAAAAAGAACTTTTACAAAAAAAGAAGCTTAAAAATACAATTTCATTTTTTTCCAAGTAAATCTTGGCTTTCAAGAAAAAGAAGAAAAAAGATTTTTTATATGTCACAACCTTCCTTCATAAACATGTTTGTATAAATTTGTCTTTTAGAGGCTTATCAGTACAGTGAAAAGCAAACCCTTTGTATTTCAGGTATACAAGAAATCTTGTGGACAATGGAAATGGAAAGTTCAACTTGATGATCTTGTGCTGGGGTGAAGGGCATGGCAGGTTTGTATCCAAATTAGCAAACAGATATAAAGTCACCGTATCTTTCTTTGTTATAGAAAAAGATAAAAATAATCATCCCCATGTGAGCTATCAGAACGTATCTGGAAACTAAGCAGTGCAGAGCTCCTACTGGTGTAGCAGTCCTGAATATTTATTGTACCTTTTGCAAGTTTGTACGTCAGATATTTTTAGAGCACTCTTTGAAAAGTGCTCTTCTTTTCTACCAAATCTGAACTTCCCTTCTGTCAGAGGAAGTTTTGAGTCCCAGAGATACAGCGGGTCCTGTGGACAGGACAGGTTGAACAGGTTCTGTCAACCTGTCCCGTACAACAGAACCATACAACACTTGGTTGCAGAAGCAGGACTTGATGCAGTTTAAATAGTCTTTGTTCTCTCATGGTGTTTAAATCCCACCTCTGTGACAAGATGAGAAATGTAGGTTTGGGTTAGGACTGAAGGCCGTAAGGAGGGAGCTCCTTTCCAGGAGTACTTGGCTTTTTTTAGGTTCACGCATCCCGTCTCCTCCCTCAAAATGCTACATTGCTGATGTAGCCTCCTGAGTTGTGTACACACGTGAGGGCAGGATCTGTCACTTGGAGGGTCTTTCACAAAATGTTGACTAAAACAAAATAAGGAATAACAAAACTTGCAGATTTTGACTGATTATTCTTACATATAAATAGAAAACCTTAGGAGATGTTGGAGCGGTTTTTTGTTTGTTTTAATTGAGTGTGCAATTCAGCATTTACAGTATTCTCTATGGGAAGGCACGATGTTATACTCAGAGGGACATAGGAGCCAAGCCCACCACCTCTAGTCCTTCCGGGCTATTCCCACAAAGCCTGTAATTTATGTCAAATTGTGTTTGAGTTGGATGAGCATTTACTAGAGCTAGACTGAGACCACAAGTTGTTTTTGCTTCCTGCGTGAGGAGGATCAGACTGTTCTCATGGCTTGTTGAAGGAGCGTGACAACGTGGCATTTGTGAACTGTTCTGTGCCTGAAGCAAGCTCTGCTCTCTTGGCATCTCAGTTTGTAAGAAACCCTGACATCTGTTTACTGGAAACAGTAACGTACAAGTACCAAGGTTTTGATTGAAACTCATTAGCACCGTACTTCATGGAGGGTCAAATTCCCCCTTCTCTGTCCCCCCTGATAAGTGGAGAGCTCTCCCTTTGTCCTAATCCCATTGACTTCTACAACAGTTAGTCCTCTATTTTAAAAAAAGCAACAAACAAACAAACAGACAAAACTAAACTGCATATATCGCCCATATGTCTTCAAAATGTAGCAATTAAAACGCACTTCAAGCAAGCAGACAAATCATACCAGATCATGCTCTTTTGTTCGTATTTTCCCAACCTAGTGAAATTAACAGCTTGCTGTAGCTGCTTGTACTAAGTACTACGAGAGCGAGAGGCACAGCATTTTTTCTTCAACAAATGCCTGTGCACCCCAGCAGTAAAGAGACCATAGAGATTAAACAGAAGTAGCTAATTTTTCCCATGTTTTGGGAGCAAACATGGTGGATCTGCAAATACCAGGTATGCTTGCAAGTTTATACCAGCCTCTGCCTGGGGTCACTGTGGAAAGCATCATTTTGTTTCTTGGCCCACAAGAGTTTTTATGTTCTGAAGAATTTTCTGTCCTCCTCCCTCCTCCAGACGTCCTTTGTATTTCTCTGTGGCAAAGTCATAGGCTGATCAATATCTGATTCTTCTCCAAGTCCTGCTGTATGTGAGCTTATCTCAACGCATTTCTGAAGTAGCAGGTTTAAGCAGGCATACCTTCATCACCGTGAATGTTTTTTTCCGAAGACTTGTGTGCACGACCCATGGGCAATGGCATTTCATTCTAGAGCTATGTCCAGATACAACATGCTATGCCATCTGTCCTGTCTGCTGTACTGAAACTAAATATGTATATCACACTGAGTTTGGTTATTCTTTTTACACATATAGCAGCATCCACGATCACACTGACTCACACTGCTTTATGAAGATACTCCAGGGAAACCTAAAGGAGACTCTGTTTGAATGGCCTGAGAAAAAAGGGAATGGTGAAATGACTAAGAAATCAGAACGAGTTTTGAGGGAAAATCAATGTGCCTACATTAATGGTAAGCTATTAAGCTTGTTTTGACAACCACCCATCCATGAGTCTTATTCCTAACAGAAAAGTTCATCTGGTCTCCTTTAACACTGTAATACTTTTAACAATATAATACTAATGGCTTTATGCACAGTTTAATAATGTGGCTGTCTAGATTCTGCACAAACCAGTATTTAGAGTCAGTAAAACAACCAACAAAAAAATGTTCTTTTAACTCTCTTAACACATTGCAGCAATTGCCCGATGCTTAAATATGCTGGGTATCTTCTCTAGACCAGGCAGCCTTCAGCACTGTGCCCCTAATGACTGTCTGAAATGGCTTGTAAACATAGACCTTGAATAGTATTTTGTGAAAAATAAAGGAACCAGAGTTTATATAGCTTAGTCCCCTTGATTTTTTCCAAAGAAATAATACTGTTCATCAGCCATGGAAATCCTAGGTCAAAAATGAAAAAGCTGTCTGTGGAATAAATTGACCAGCCAGGAACAGGGGCCCTGATCCTCAGTGCTACTTCTTGTCCATATCAGCAAAAGACTGTAGTGCTGAAGTGCAGCATCAACAGAATGATTTGAGCATTTCAAATCTACAAAAAAATTGCCTGACTCAACAGCTGCTGCGAGATTACTAAGTCTCCACCAGTAAGGCTCCCTAGGTACCTAAATGCATGCCATTACACGTATCCATAACTATCACCACCTCATGCTATGCTGGAGACCATCCTGGTGCGATCAGCTGGATGTAACGTATTCTGATGCTATGGCAGACATTGGACAGCATGCTGAACAGCAGTGAGTTCAGCAGAACAAAGGTAAAGCGTCAGAGAAGGGGGCCGTCTGCCTTTTATGTGATGAATTAAAAATGAGCACACACTGTGTGGGGTTGAACTTGGGAATTCCACAGGTGGAGGAAGCCTCATGGACTAAGCCAGGGCGAGGGCATTGGGGAAGAAAGACTAGTGCTCTGCAACCCTCTCTTGAAGGTGTGCCACATTAAGTGAAAACACAAAATCCATAGGGCAGGAGTTGCAAGAAGGGGCTTGACACGTCTGCTGATGCTCCCATGCCAGGGACGTGAGTTCTCAGATTCAGTCAGGTTTCCCTACCTGTGCGGTTCTTTCTGATGCAAGCAATTGCACCCTGTGTGCGTCTGATCCAAAGCTTCCTTCAATGTCTTGAACAAAATTTGTACCCAAATCTCTGAGGCACTTTGGATCACATGTTTCATAACAGATGTTTTGGTTTGAAAGAAACAGGTAAAACAAGTAGAAGGAAAACACTGACAGTGTGCTGTTTGCCCTAACTACTTCAACAGTGAATGACCTTCATGTCTCTATTACGTGCTTCTTGGTTGCTCTTGTACTTTATTCTTAAGGTTAGAACCCACTAAAGAGTGTTTATTCGAGTCTCCCATTAGGTGGGAAATTTAGGACATTTTCCCCCTATGTCCTCCATTTAGATAAACTATATTAATGGCACTTAAGGCTTACACTTCAAATGTATCGGAGTTGAGAGTGTAATCATGATTCTCAGAGTATCATGCCTACATTGCACAATACAGATCTAGGTATTATATGACATATTAATTCAAGTACAAAGGCCTGAGTTGTTTTTACAGCAGGGCCATAAATTTAAATTCAAGGTCTCTTTGAAGTAACTCCAAAACTCTGCTGTAGAATGGAAATGGTTTGTTCTGTGGATGTGATTCTTCATACCTTACATGTTTATGTAATAGCTTGATTTCTACTCCACCATCACAGAAAGTGCCATTACTTCATTAGTAACCACACAACAGGCAGTGCCTTGTTTTATTGTGTGTTCAATTATGCTTACTATTCAGTTAAGGTTGGAAGTATGCCAGTCGCTACTAATTTGTCACCTTAGTCAAAAGAGCAGACAAATGAAAAGCCTGTTCTCCAAACTAATAAACTGGGAGGATTAATTAGGAAACAGATGCCTGTAGTAGAAGACAACTGTATTTCTGTCTCTAAGTCCATGCCCCAAAGACACGTAGCTGACAATGTAACTGATACCCTTGTTACTGGGCTAAGAACTAGCAATACAAAAACTTCTTCCCTGTAAAATGTCTGCTAATTTTTAGAAACGCAAACTTTCCTGCTTCTGGAGCATCTATAACAACAGCATGTCCTAGGAGAGTAAATAACTTTGAAGTCCTTTGGAAATGATAGCTAGAAGATTACTGACAGCATGGCCTTCCTTAAGTTTCTCTGGATTTCTCTTGGCCTTTATCCTGTAGCAGATAATCCAGAAGTTACGTGAAGTCTGGAAGGCAATAACATTTTGAATTACCAGTGTATTTAGGAATCTGTGCTAGAGAAGAGCAGTCAGAATCCCTGTACTGAGTTACTCGTTGCCCATAAAAGTGCGGGCATGCCTTACACGCTTGCTCAGGAGTTTCGGTTTAAAAAAGCATTTTTCCAGGCACTTGAGGTCTCATTAAATCTTCCCGCTAACACAACCTCTTGTTTCATGTCCTTGCTGGTGTAGACTCAATTGGCCTGCACCGTGTGGAGAACATAAGCCACACAGAGCCTGCCGTTAGCCTGCATTTGTACAGCCCACCCTTCGACAGCTGTAACACCTTTGATCAGAGGACTGGACACAAGCACAAAGTCAAGATGACCTTCTACAGCCAGTTTGGAGAAAGGACTCTCTGTGTAAGTATGAGATTACATGCTCCCCATCCAGCCCCAAGATTTTAAGCCCTTGTGAGGGTGGGTGCGAGGGGCATCCCCCTCTAGGACCAGCATAAAACTTGTTTCCAAATAGTCCTCCATTTGTCAATCTGCATGTCCCTCGTGTGGAGTTCCCTGATTTGTAG